ATTTCTTGGAAAATTGGTGCGCCCAACTGGTGGCACTGGCTGCGGGCTAGCAGCTTGAACTGCAGTGACACACCGACGCGCAGGCTCCCAACGTAGACCTCCATCTCGTTACCTCCAAGGGCACCGCACGGACTTCTTTAATGATGATTAATTATGCAAATAATATCAAATAAATTCAAACACTGCAGAAGTGCACTGATAGTCCAACAAAAAATGGCACTGAACTTCAGCAATCAGCTCCTGCATCTCTCTTTGGGTTCTGCTCCGCTTGCAAAGCAATCAGCTGGGAGCTGGATCTCACCTTGACAGGAAATTGGAAGTGCATTTCTCGTGGTTTTCTGCGTCATTATGCACTGATGAAGTTTTCACAAACACATCTTGGGATCATCTTAGGATTCCTGTCTTTTCTGCATCGGAAGATCAAATTTCAGATCCGTCTCTGCAACCGGCCTCTCGCCCTGTCGGTCCCAACTGGGCCACACTAATGAAGTATTCAATCACCTCCGCGGTGTCTGTGGCCACACCTGCAGCACATTCGGGATGCAGGGCTACCAGAGACCACGAGAATGCGTGTCCCAAGCTGAGAGCCGCACTTGGGTAGTGCAACCACACCATGTCCTGTCTTGTGCTCAATTCTGAAACTAAAGTCAAACCCAGAAACCCGAAACCCCGAACTGAGATTTTGGCTGGAGAAAGAGGCTTAACAACAAGGCCATGATCTTTCGCAGGCTGCAGAATCGGATGCTTCATCTAAGTTGCGGCAGAAACTTGAAGGGAGAACACACGGTCCATCAATCTTTTGCAGCGATAGCTTTGAGGGAATTGTTGCCAAGAGAAAGACTTCATTTCATGACGGCAAATGGAAATCACAAGCTAGAAGCAAACTTACTATTGAATCAAGAAAGCAAGAAAAGGTCAGGCAAAGATCGAAAGCTGAATGAACACTAGACAAAGGTCCGCAGGAGTCCCCAGGTTCTGTGCGAGCCCACCTAGAAAAAAAATGACCTATTCTTTTCCAAAGGCATCTTGAATAAATCTGAGTACTCGACATGCACTGGCTTGCTGAAGCTGCTCCAGTGGGACCATCGCCAATCGTCGCCAACTCGAACAGCAAACAGGATCCGCTGTCCATCGAGGAACTGCGGCTGCGACACACTGATCTTCAACGTGCCAAGGCCGTCATTCATAGACACGGCGGTAAGGTTTTGTGGTTTCAACTCTCTGACCTCATCGATATGGGAATCACCAGCTTGACGATATGAAACTTGAATCCGTGTCACCAGGCCATGCACATGTCCTGACTCTCCTGACTTCAAAGAATTTGTCGGTCTCTCGGAAGGAGAGTCAGACGAGAGAGCAAAGGCCAGGACAACTTTTAAGCGTTTTAAGTCCTGATCCACGAGCAACGATGCTCTTGGCTTTTCAGGCGCCGCAAATGCTGTGGCATAAAGGCCAGAGATCTGCGACAACCATGTTCTGCTGCTAGCCCCACCCTTGACGGGGCTATCCAAGTCAATCTTTCGTACTCGGAACTGCACAGCATCTGGCAGGTTCGGCGATTGCACTGTTGCTGGGAATTGCCAGGTGCACAAAGCTAGCCCTTGACCGGTGTTCTGAATGCCTGCCATCTGGGCAAGCTGCAAATCTGCTTCTTGCCACTGCAGGTCACTCTGCAATTGATCTGCTTGCCAAGGCCGCCATTCCACTCTATGTGAAGCATCGTTGGCAGCGGGCACGGCTCTTTGATCGGCCTGGAAGAGAGTGTTACCAATCCGGTTCTCTAGCATGAACAGATTCGTAGATGAGATTAATTCATTTTGATTCAGTACATACTAGATCATGATGGTGAACTCAACTAGTGGCCTCCAGCCAGAATTCCAAGCTCCAAGGAGACCGACGGTCTGCTCCCCCATGAAGCGGTGGAGGTGCCTAAGCCAAAGACCGCAGAACCACCACTATGGGACTGGATTGACTGCTGAATTGAATGACTATGTACCTGGCATTGACAAGCGATCTTGTGCTGCCATGTTGCAACCTGCTTCACTGGGAAAGGTGGCTCGAACTCAGCTGTGTCCACACCTTGCGAGTAAAAGCTTGACTTTGCTGTCACAAATCAGCGTTTTCTGCGTGTCGAACGGTGCCCAAATAAGGATGTAGCCGCTCAAAATCAAGGTCGCCTGATCATAGGCTTGCAACCAATCACCCTAGGACTGATAGCACACTAGCATCCTGCCTTCAAGCAAGCACCACTTGCACCTCTGTCCTCCGCACAGAAGTTGTTCACGAGATCACGAGAGTGAGATTTCACAAGTTCCGTGCCACTTCCAGGTGCTTGCACTGTTGCCAGACTTGTTCCACCTTTCCAAGCGCAAAGCCACAACAGGCTTGAGTTTTGACTCAAGCGTTAGGGAGCCGAATGAAGCCATGGAAGCGCTCCATTGGCTCTCCTTTTGCTCCATCCAGTGGCCGGGCACTGAAAGAGTGGCTGTACAATGTGCAAACCCAGCATTCCAGCCACCACACGGGCGATGCAATTCTATTTAAATCTCAATTTCTTCCACCTGCTCACTTGTGATGCGAGGAAGTCGCACACACACGTCAGTACCAAATCCTGGCAAAAAAAAAAAATGTCTTGCAGACTTGCAGTCCCTTGCAGTCCCTTGCAGTCCCTTGCAGTCCGTTGCAGTCCCTGTTTCTGAGCCATGCTTTTCCATGGTTTTTCTGTGGCCATCTTCCGGCCTGGATATGTTGTGAGTTGGAGCTGACCACCCAAGTATCGAGCATGCAAGCTGGAAACCGGGAGGCCTCACACAACTTGAATGCACTCACATTCTGGCAAGGGTCTGAAGTGTCCCAGGTTCCATCATGTTCAAGCAAAACATAAAAACAAACATGCAAAACAAAAGACATATTGTATTGTAATTAAGTGTGTACTAAACTATATTCGTAGATTATATAAATTATATAGAAATGACATTTGAATTCCCAGGTCGTAGCTTTGCTGCCCAGCAACCAACTCCATAGCCTGCCAAAGGGGTGGCGGCCCCCTCGTCGGCTCCACGAGCCGCGGCTCCATACAAGTAGGACCTGGGCGCTGGGCCAATGGGATTTGCTTGGGAAAATCTTCCAAGACCGTGTTTCCATGTGTTTCCTACATTTACCTACCAACAATTCGGGGTCATGTAGAGTTTCCCTTGAAAAGCCGGGGAATAGTACATCCTTGATCAATATAGGATAATTATGGATAATTAGTAATAGTATGCGTATGCAAATGTTGCAAATGACATGAGCCAACTACTGAAACTATTGTTCTGCTGACTTCGTCCATTGTCACACTCTAAGACTCAAACCATATACGATCTCCCACATCTGAAGGGATGCCACCCGCACGGTCGCTGACGCGAATAGCAACGTGGCACTCATCACGGCCTGTCAACATACTAGTAGCAATCAGCACATCCGGAACAATGCCAAGTGAACCATCAAAAATACCGCTGTTTTTTTTTGTAGGGGAGTCATGGTACGGATGCCTATCAACCAACCGGTATAACGGGATCGGATAGTGGTATTTTGAAGGCTCACGTTGGTTGAACTCTCTCTTGGAGACACTTGTCTGAAAAACTCTTGTCAGCAGAAGTTGCTGAGCCATTGACAAATCAGCACGTGAATAGGTCTCTCTGCAATCTCCGCAGCAGTGGCCCCTGCGAGCGTCGCTTTGAAGCTGTTCTTCAACACTTCAACCATGATGTACCGCAAATAGCCGGGAATGTAGCCTGAGAAATACCACGATGCTGGACAGTTGGTCGAACGAAGCATTGCAGGCAAATACATACAGCAAATCGACAAAATTCTAGTGACATCTAGTGACTCTTGTGTAATGAACACAAAACTCATCAATTGCGTGTAATATGTGTAATATAATATATATCCGCCGACCCCGGCCTTCGCCAAGGCCGGGGCGGCGCCTGGGACCACCGCAGGTGTGGAACTTGTCCTGTCGGACCACCCTCCACCCTCCAAACCCTCCAAAACCTTCCAAACCCTCCAAACACCCTCCAAAACCCTCCAAACCCTCCAAACACCCTCCCCAGCAGGCACCCCAGGGCCAAGGCCACTTCCCCAACAGGCACCCCAGGGCCAAGGCCGCAGCATAGCTTTCTATGGGCTTTCAAAGGTACCGTTTGCCAGCCCGCAAACCCTCCAAAACCTTCCAAACCCTCCAAACACCCTCCAAAACCCTCCAAACCCTCCAAAACCCTCCAAACCCTCCAAACACCTTCCCCAACAGGCACCCCAGGGCCAAGGCCACTTCTCAAACAAGCACCCCAGGGCCAAGGCCACAGCAATGGCTTTCTATTGGCTTTCAAAGCTGCCGTTTGCCAGCCCGCAAACCCTCCAAAACCTTCCAAACCCTCCAAAACCCTCCAAACCCTCCAAACACCCTCCAAAGCCCTCCAAACCCTCCAAACCCTCCAAAACCTTCCAAACCCTCCAAACACCCTCGAAAACCGTCCAAACCCTCCAAAACGTCCAACCCCTCCAAACACCGTCCCCAGCAGGCACCCCAGGGCCAAGGCCACTTCCCCAACAGGCACCCCAGGGCCAAGGCCGCAGCATAGCTTTCTATGGGCTTTCAAAGGTACCGTTTGCCAGCCCGCAAACCCTCCAAACGCTCCAAAACCTTCCAAACCCTCCAAACCCGCCAAAACCTTCCAAACCCTCCAAACACCGTCCCCAGCAGGCACCCCAGGGCCAAGGCCACAGCAATGGCTTTCTATTGGCTTTCAAAGCTGCCGTTTGCCAGCCCGCAAACACTCCAAACGCTCCAAAACCCTCCAAACCCTCCAAAACCCTCCAAACCCTCCAAACACCTTCCAAAGCCCTCCAAAACCTCCAAACCCTCCCTCCAAACACCCTCCAAAACCCTCCAAACCCTCCAAAACCTTCCAAACACCTTCCCCAGCAGGCACCCCACGGCCAAGGCCACTCCCCCAACAGGCACCCCAGGGCCAAGGCCGCAGCATAGCTTTCTATGGGCTTTCAAAGGTACCGTTTGCCAGCCCGCAAACCCTCCAAAACCGTCCAAACCCTCCAAACACCCTCCAAAACTCTCCAAACCCTCCAAAACCCACCAAACCCTCCAAACACCTTTCCCAACAGGCACCCCAGGGCCAAGGCCACTTCTCAAACAAGCAACCCAGGGCCAAGGCCACAGCAATAATGGCTTTCTATTGGCTTTCAAAGCTGCCGTTTGCCAGCCCGCAAACACTCCAAACGCTCCAAAAACCCTCCAAACCCTCCAAAACCCTCCAAACCCTCCAAACACCCTCCAAAACCATCCAAACCCTCCAAACCCTCCAAAACCTTCCAAACCCTCCAAACACCCTCCAAAACTCCCAAACCCTCCAAAACCCTCCAAACACCCTCCCCAGCAGGCACCCCAGGGCCAAGGCCACTTCCCCAACAGGCACCCCAGGGCCAAGGCCGCAGCATAGCTTTCTATGGGCTTTCAAAGGTACCGTTTGCCAGCCCGCAAACCATCCAAACGCTCCAAAACCCTCCAAACCCTCCAAACACCCTCCAAACCCTCCAAACACCTTCCCCAACAGGCACCCCAGGGCCAAGGCCACTTCTCAAACAAGCACCCCAGGGCCAAGGCCACAGCAATGGCTTTCTATTGGCTTTCAAAGCTGCCGTTTGCCAGCCCGCAAACACTCCAAACGCTCCAAAACCCTCCAAACCCTCCAAAACACCTCAAACCCTCCAAACACCCTCCAAAACCCTCCAAACCCTCCAAAACCTTGCAAACCCTTTAAACACCCTCCAAAACTCCCAAACCCTCCAAAACCCTCCAAACCCTCCAAACACCTTCCCCAGCAGGCACCCCAGGGCCAAGGCCACTTCCCCAACAGGCACCCCAGGGCCAAGGCCACTTCTCAAACAGGCACCCCAGGGCCAAGGCCACAGCAATGGCTTTCAAAGCTGCCGTTTGCCCGCCCACAAACGCTCCAAACCTTCCAAAACCTTCCAAACCCTCCAAACCCTCCAAAACCTTCCAAACCCTCCAAACACCGTCCCCAGCAGGCACCCCAGGGCCAAGGCCACTTCCCGAACAGGGGGGGGGCCTCGCTGCCATGGCAGGTGCCCACAGCAAATGGTCTTTCTTATGGGCTTTCAAAGGCTGCCGTTACCCCGCTGCAAACGCTCAAACCTTCCAAACTCCAAACCCTCAAACCCTCCAAAACCTTCCAAACCCTCAAACCCGTCCCCCAGCAGGCACCCCAGGGCCAAGGCCACAGCAATGGCTTTCTATTGGCTTTCAAAGCTGCCGTTTGCCAGCCCGCAAACACTCCAAACGCTCCAAAACCCTCCAAACCCTCCAAAACCGTCCAAACCCTCCAAACACCCTCCAAAACCATCCAAACCCTCCAAAACCATCCAAACCCTCCAAACACCTTCCCCAACAGGCACCCCAGGGCCAAGGCCACTTCTCAATCAGGCACCCCAGGGCCAAGGCCACAGCAATGGCTTTCTATTGGCTTTCAAAGCTGCCGTTTGCCAGCCCGCAAACACTCCAAACGCTCCAAACCCCTCCAAACCCTCCAAAACCCTCCAAACCCTCCAAACACCCTCCAAAACCCTCCAAACCCTCCAAACCCTCCAAAACCTTCCAAACCCTCAACCCCCTTCAAAACCCTCCAAACCCTCCAAAACCCTCCAAACCCTCCAAACACCTTCCCCAACAGGCACCCCAGGGCCAAGGCCACTTCTCAAACAGGCACCCCAGGGCCAAGGCCGGCCAGCATAGCTTTCGATGGGCTTTGCAAAGGTCCCGTTTGCCAGGCCGCGAACCTCCCCAAACCTCCAAACCCTCCAAACCCCCCAAACCCTCCAAAACCTCCAAACCCTCCAAACACCCTCCAAAACCGTCCAAACCCTCCAAAACGTCCAAACCCTCCAAACACCGTCCCCAGCAGGCACCCCAGGGCCAAGGCCACTTCCCCAACAGGCACCCCAGGGGCCAAGGCCACAGCAATGGCTTTCTATTGGCTTTCAAAGCTGCCGTTTGCCAGCCCGCAAACGCTCCAAAACTCTCCAAACGCTCCAAAAAATTTCCAAACCCTCCAAACACCCTCCAAAACACTCCAAACCCCCCAAACCTCCAAAACCTTCCAAACCCTCCAAACACCTTCCAAAACCGTCAAACCCTCCAAACACCGTCCCCAGCAGGCACCCCAGGGCCAAGGCCACTTCCCCAACAGGCACCCCAGGGCCAAGGCCACAGCAATGGCTTTCTATGACTTTCAAAGCTGCCGTTTGCCCGCCCGCAAGCGCTCCAAACCTTCCAAAACCTTCCAAACCCTCCAAACCCTCTAAAACCTTCCAAACCCTCCAAACACCGTCCCCAGCAGGCACCCCAGGGCCAAGGCCACTTCCCGAACAGGCACCCCAGGGCCAAGGCCACAGCAATGGCTTTCTGAGGCTTTCAAAGCTGCCGTTTACCAGCCCGCAAACGCTCCAAACGCTCCAAAACCCTCCAAACCCTCCAAACACCTTCCAAAACCCTCCAAACGCCAAAAAACCCTCCAAACCCTCCAAAACTCGCAAACCCTCCAAACACCCTCCCAGCAGGCACCCCAGGGCCAAGGCCACTTCCCCAACAGGCACCCCAGGGCCAAGGCCGCAGCATAGCTTTCTATGGGCTTTCAAAGGTACCGTTTGCGAGCCCGCAAACACTCCAAAACCGTCCAAACCCTCCAAACACCCTCCAAAACCATCCAAACCCTCCAAAACCATCCAAACCCTCCAAACACCTTGTCCAGCAGGCACCCCAGGGCCAAGGCCACTTCCCCAACAGGCCCAAGGGCCAAGGCCACAGCAATGGCTTTCTATGGGCTTTCAAAGCTGCCGCCCCAGGGCCAAGGCCACTTCTCAAACAAGCACCCCAGGGCCAAGGCCACAGCAATGGCTTCCTATTGGCTTTCAAAGCTGCCGTTTGCCAGCCCGCAAACACTCCAAACGCTCCAAAACTCTCCAAACGCTCCAAAACCCTCCAAACCCTCCAAACACCCTATGCCACTATCTATCTATCCAACAATCGATCTATCCATCTGTTTATCCAACTGTCTATCTACCTATCTGTCATCTATCTCTCTCTCTCTGTCCCTCTATCTATCCATCTGTCCAACAATCGATCTATCCACCCGTTTATCTAATTGTCTATCTACCTATCTATCAATCTAGCTCTCTCTCTCTCTCTATCCCTCTATCTATCCATCGATCTATCTCTCTCTCCCTCTATCTATCTATATATATATATATCTATATCTATCTATCTATCTATCTATCCATCTATCTATCCATCTATCTATCCATCCATCCATCTATCTATCTATCCTTCTACCCATCTATCTATCCAACTACCCATCTGTCTGTCTGTCAATCTCTCTATCTATTCACATGTCTACCTGTCTGTCTGTCTGTCTGTCTGTCTATCTATCTATCTATCCGTCCATCCATCCATCCATCCACCCATCCATCTATCTATCTATCCCTCTCTCTCCCTCTCCCTCTCCCTCTCCCTCTCTCTCTCTCTCTCTCTCTCTCTCTCCCCCCACAGTGCCCCCCAAATAGAGGGGGGTCGGCGGCACCTGGGCGCTAGCCCATTCTATATAGATATAGATAGAATTAGGTGGAAAGATAGCTAGATAGATGATACTCAAGGTGTATCTAATGCACAACATGCACCTGGTGAACATTCTTCACTGATAGATTGATCGAGAAATGATAGATGAGCCATAGGAGCGAGGAGCTCCAGGAGCCAGGACCGTAGAAGCCACAGAAGCCACGAAGCCACAGAAGCCACAGAAGTGACCAGGAGCCACCAGGAGCCACAGAAGCCACCAGGAGCCACCGGAGCCACCAGGAGCCACCAGGAGCCACCAGGAGCCACCAGGAGCCACCAGGAGCCACCAGGAGCCACCAGGAGCCACCAGGAGCCACCAGGAGCCACCAGGAGCCAGCAGGAGCCAGCAGGAGCCAGGACCGTAGAAGCCACAGAAGCCACGAAGCCACAGAAGCCACAGAAGCCACAGAAGCCACAGAAGCCACAGGAGCCACAGAAGCCACAGGAGCCACAGAAGCCACAGAAGCCACAGAAGCCACAGAAGCCACCAGGACCTAGCAGGAGCCACAGAAGCCACCAGGAGCCACCAGGAGCCACCAGGAGCCACCAGGAGCCAGGACCCAAAAAAAAAAGCCAAAAAAAATAGCCCTCCCTTCTGAACCCTCAATCTTTCCAGAAAAGACCCTCCCAACCACCCTTACCCCATCACCATCCCAACCATCCCCACTATGAGCTCATTCCCATTCCACTTCGCAGGCCTTCAATCCGCAGGCCTTTGCCAAGGTTGGCGCCTCCCCTGACGGCTCCAGCTGTGCCAAGGGGCCCAAGGCCGCCCAGACACCGCCAAGATGGACCTTGGCACAGCTCCCCAAACCAAGACACACATCAAGCAATTGCTCCATGACAGAAACCAAAGCATCCTCCGCATCTTTTTGTTGAGAATGAAATGTGGCAACTGCAATTTCTGCACACTTCCAAGATCCTCTTATCGCAGTACAGGATGGAGCTCTGTCCAAGATTTAGGGACTCCAAGGACCCCCAGCCAAGCATGCGAGAACGCCTTCCAAGAGTTCGGTGTGCCTGGAGCACAGAAGGAACATGAGTGCAGTGGTTCCACGGTGCTGACGGCAGTGTCAGACAACAATCATACTGATACAATTTATATATATATACATACATATGTATATGACGGTTTGCCAAAATGTCTTTTCCTGGTTTGGTTGATAAATCGTAATTCCTTGGGTGCCGCTTCTTATTCTGCCTTTAAGACCATGACCATGACGGACCTAAATAGTCTGAAGCCCTGCATTTTATCCTTCATGTTTGAAGCCGTAGCTAAAACCTGCGGGTAAATTCTAACGGGCGTCTATATGAAGTGGGTGCCGCTGCTAGTTCTTAGTGGTGGAACTGGAATATCTGCAGAGCTGGTCGTTGCCTTTGCTGTCACTGTTGCTTTTGTCAAACAGACAGGATAAACTACAAGTTCTCTGGTGGCGACTGGGTCACGGGTCAAGCAAAGCCGTTTTTTGAAACTTTTGCGAGCCCATTGCTAGCGGGGATCTAGCGGGTAAAATTACGTACAAATTCGCAAAGTTGAGCCGCAACCTCAAAAATATAGGAAAATTGTTGAGCAGCACAGAAATTCACTAAGACATCCTTAGGATTAAGGAGCTAAGTCTAAGTTACATTTTAACTGTTCTTCATGTTGAAATAACAAGCAAACAGGAACACAAAAAAAATCCTTGAACATAGGTGTGAGAAAAAAAAACTAGCGCAAACCTAGCGGGTTTGCTAGCGCTGCCTTGCAGAATTGGTAAATTTAGTTGCGTGCCACCTCATAACGAAGAGGAAAAACCACTAGGTCCGCACTAATTATCAACAACTACAAAACTTCTGTCAACTATTTTTGGCAAATGGTCATATATATATATTATATATATATTATATATATAATCATAGTGGTCCAGTTCAGACTTGCTTTTAGTAGATCTGATGTGGAATTTTCACCCCAAAATTCCTCCAGGACTCAGTCCCTGCCTCCCGTCGGATTTGAGCATTGAGAATCTAGAACTGGTTTCGGATGATTTGAGTCTGGACAATGCAACAACCCAAGCAAACAATTGAGATTCAAGATCGCTCACGCCATCAATTCAAAGAATCGAAGATTGATTTCATAGGGTCCAACTATAAAGGACCATCTCATAATTTCACTTGAGTTTTCATGGAAAGGCTTTCCACAGATCACATCCTTGGACCCAGTGGCACACCAATTGGTTTTTCTTTGGCACCTCTCATCCTTCATGTAAGCGTAACTATTGAGATGTGACAGAAGTACATCTGGAACACCTGGCTGGACGTCTGGTCATCCTCCAAGGGTCTCATCAGCCGTGACCGGCTCCCTTCAGTTTGATAGGGATCACAACAGCTGCATCGATGACTTTCGGGGACTGAAAGATTGGCCAGAAACATTGGGCACAAATTTCTGTGGACGGTGTGATCCTTTCGCACCCTCGGTGCAACATTGGCCAACTAGGAATGATGGATAGACAATGATCACGGTCCAGGGAAGTCGTGAGTCACGGGTGACAGGAATGAGAAAGTTGCTTGTGCGAAAGAAGCTCCAACACCAAAATGTACATTAGAATGGATCCCTGCCCCTTCTCCCGTGGGTGTACATTTCAAACATGGGAATCCACTCGTACCTCTGGAACAAAGTTCGTGCGCCAGCAGCTGTCGCATGCGCTCCTGCTGGCATCAAAGTAGCCTCCTCGTATGATCTCCTAACTAATGGCTACATCGGCTACTTCGCGGAGTTAAATCTATTTTGTGAATAACAGACCTTGAAGGACTTCCTTGGACACTTTTTTCTTCTCCAACATCCGCAGGAAAATACAATCAGGATATCATGGCCCATGACTGTCTGAGCCACTAGTGAGCCTTGAAAGTTGCACAAGGGGAATTGCGATCGCGCGTCTTGAACGACATGTTGCTTCTTCATCCCTGAAAAGATCCCAGTCTGCTTCCAGCATAGCCTGCAGATCATGGAATTGCTCGACAATGAAAGCAAGTCGCCTTCAAACAATTGCAATCAAGCAGATCTTTGGAAACCAGATGTAACTAGTCAGCCCCCCAACTCCTCGTTCTGCCTCTCACAGCCCTGCGTGGAAGTCTAGGGGTGACGGTGGAAATTGGTAAAGTGCAAATTCCCAGGATCTTTCGAAACACCAAAAGTGAGACTGCAGTGAAATTATATAAATGAGGAACATCTGAGTGGAATTGAAAGACGGATATCTAACTGAAACGCAATCCTTACAGAAGAGAATCATCGTAAATGAGTCTGGTGAGACTAGAAGAAGTATTCGGGGTTCCGCCTCTGGGCAAGTCGAAGGTTCGAGCATCGTGCGCAGCAAGAAGGAGCTATCTCCTTGTGCAAACAGGACCATAGAAATCCACTCAAGAGCAATGAGCAGTGGCTGTAGTGGGTCAGGATTCTCCCCTGGCCAAAGCAACCAATGAGGTCATGTAAAGCTTCCCGTATCTTGTACCAACCCAATATCAAGGCCTGCAGCCTTCAATCCTTCGTTGATTTCTTGGAATCAACCCAGAGAGGATCACCCTACCTCAACGGCTCCATGGTCCACCTAATCCACGCTGCATTGCTGTCCAGGGTCTCACTGTACTGTTCACCGTTGACATTCGCAGGACTCCCACTGAGACATCTAAAAGTTGGACCAGCAGCTCCTGAAGGATGCCACGGGGCCATGGGCCACCAGAAATTGAAACAAGAAATTCTTGATGCGTTGATGCCTAGTACACAAGACCTTAACGTACCAAAACTATTCTAAACTATCCTAAACTCTGATGGAAAAAGGAAACATTCTATTAAGGGTGTCCCTGATGGATCTGGTGTACGTCATGGCTGAAATCAGTTGCCAATGTGAGCAAAAACGACCTGGAATGGTCATCCCATCCTGGCATTCCCTTGCCGCCCTTGCCTAATGATTTTTGGTGCTTGGCGGCCATTGAGAGCATGGCAGCATAAAACTCCTAAGATCCTAAAAACCAGGACGGGTGGAAAGCCTGATACTAACCATTTGGAGCCAAAAAGGCCTAGAAGATCCACCAGCCATGGCTCCCCTGCTCAGCCCTGTCTCGGTATCCTCTCCAAGATGGAAAAGCCGTCCACAGCCCAACTGCTCCCGGGCGGTCAACACCAAGGCGAGGCAGTGGCATCCTCAGCACCCAGAGCAAATGGGGAGAACTGAGTGAACTGAGTGAACCTTTTTTGAGCCAACAAAATGTCAACATTGCATGGTTGTTTGTGGTTTCTTGCAGTTTTTGGATGTGAACACAGCTTAAAACATCTAACAACAGAAGCGGTGCTCTGCTCGCCTCGTGCTTGGATGTAGGACTCATCCTGCAGCAAATCCAAAAATGCCAGTGCTTATTGTCGCATGCATTGACCAGGAACCTTGTCATATGAGGCTGTGAGGCCTTTATTTCAAAAATAGGAATACAAGGATCGCCTGCAGTATAGGCTCTTCTTCGCTAGTTGTGTCATCATTTGTATCATCTACATTCATCTACTACAGTGTACCACAACCCCTCTTCACCGCGCCTGGTGTTGCTGCATCCCCTGGAGTATCAAGCTCAGTAGTTGCGACAGGTCTGTGGCCTTGCAAAGGAAAGGCCATCAGATTTGGGATCTGCTGTTGTCCTCAGGAACCACCAGGGCGTAATGAGCTATGATGTTTCTGCGGCACCACAAAACATGAGGCAAAAGTATCAAGCATGACATCGTTCCATGGTCTTTTCCTGTCTTGATCAACTGTGCCTGCAATTGCTGCTGCGCTTCTTGGTGCTGATGCCGCAGGAACCACTCACCTCCATAAGTGGTCATTGTGTGGACTCTCGTGGTCATGATGGCCTCTTCAAATTTCTGCAACATTCCTGGGTTCAATGCCGTTGAATCACGTTGAATGAGACTTTCTTTGGAGGTCCGTCCCGCATACCCGGTTTGCTGAGGTGATGCTTTATCAACACACAAGGTAGATAGTACCCCTGCAAGAGTTGAGGAGGAATGCAAGCCCCACAACATTGTGTGATGTTGTTGCGATTGACAATGTTCCACTAAGGTGTGAATAATATTCCCACAAAGAGATTGTGTATCCATCCAAAGATACTGATGCAACCAGTTGCAAGGCCCGTGAATTTTCATGATCTACTGAATCTACTGGAATGCTTGTCTACGTGCCCATGCCACGAGTCCACGACCCGCTCACCTTCCACATCTTCGTCCAAGATGTCGACGATGGTGCAAAAACAGGCGTCCACGGTCGTATCAGAGGAGACATTTTGTTGGAGCTCCTGGTTGAATGATGGCTGCAAACATCTGCAAAGCCGAATAGTTCTATGACTGAGGAAGACTTTTTAAACAAAAATTCAGACAAGCACAGCACACTGTGATAAATCGTGATGCATCATGCAGAACAGAGGCTGGCTGGGCATGGGATTTGGTTGTTTTTTTTAGTGAGCATGTGAACGAGTTAGGTACTTCTCAAACACATGTCCACTAGTCGACTCCCCATTGGTGCATTATGGGGATCCCACGACACGAGGTCTGCGCACAGCCCAATGTGGCTCCTGCACTAAGAATGGCAACCCCCGCAAAGACGAAGCCAACCAAATTGAGTACCTCAAACATACAAAGCCCAGAATAAGGCCAAGAATCACTCTCACACTATTCCAAAGACATCGACATGAATTTTGCTGGATCCCTGGAAGTTTCGATGAGTCTGAGCCGGATTTCTCATTCTTTCGGGAAATTCAGTGAAATCCCATCGCAATGCCCTGGTTCCACAGCTGCGAGGATTCCGCAGCCAAGCGACTTCATCGCTCGCTTGTTGCCACGGGCTTGGTTCATCCTGTGGTAGTTCCACCAAGGATTCTACGTCAGTGGGAAATTGTTGGCGACAACGGTTTTATGCCGGTGAAGCCAGTCTACGTGACGAAAGATTCAGGAAAGTTCTCTAGTCACTTAAGTTCACCAGAGTCCCGTCAGACTCCATCATTTCCAAACACTGACACGAAACTCCCAGTGCTAGAACCCTGGCGAGAGAGGTCAAAGGTATGCCCTCTTGTTTTGTTCCATGTTTATCCATGTTTGACTACTAATGACATCTAAAGACACTATGACCAAATATGTCTTCCCCATGAGCGTTCTGGCTGCTCTCACAGCACCTCAAGACCACCAGCTTGTCCACCTGCCATGTGTGATGGATATATCTCTGATTATCTCAGCAAAGTGAAGCCTCGTTCTTCTTATTCTTTTACGAAACTGGACCGGATGCAAGTGCTTAACGTCTATATAACTGCAAGAGCTCAAAGACATGACTCAGGACTTGGTGAGGCCAGAAGTGAGTTATAGGGCTCTTTGGAAACTAAATTCCCATCAATGCGAAGAATCCAATCAGAAGAAACTCTGGAAATTTTCATGGACGAGCACAATCTGCAACTCCAGAGCAAAGAGACGAGCAAAGAAGTCACCGCTCTTCATGTTTTGCCGGTGCATCAAAATCTGCACCTAAGAAATGACCAGCCAATCCATTTCCATTTGATTTCCATTTCCATGGCTCCGGCACCACAATTTTGACCCATGCACCTCCAAGTCACGAAGATGGTGGCGCCACTCCGGACTGTGGGAGACCTGGAACGAGTTGGAACTTTTCGCAAAGGCTTTGAATCCCCAACCACCAATGGCAAGATATGGCAAGATATGGCAGGTGGCACAGTGACGTTGGACTTCGGAAACATCGGAAACATCGACCACATCATTGGGTGCAGCTCAGACCAGTGCCCACCTTGCCCAGCTCATTCACGAGCATCTCAAAACTCGGTGTTCCTCGCCCGGGAAAACACTAAATCATCATTGCCGAAATGATCCAAAATGTGTGTCAAATTGATTTTCCTATGATTTGTTGGGATGAAACAGTGATGGAAATGTCCAATCAAACGCTTTGTTCAGACTCGCTGTTGCACTCTGGCGGTCCTCCTCCTGGTAGATCAACAACCTGCAGCTCTTGAACCAGGATGGAGATGAAAGCATCCAACTCCTCCGGCACGGAACCACCGATCCATGCCTCAGTGACTTTGCCTCTAACACCTTGGAATACTGTCAGGAATTGGACTGTCAGGAACTGTCGGTAATCAGTACTCCTTCAGCTTGCCAGGCTGTGCAAGTGGCACCAGGGCTTTTGTAGCACCACACAACGCCTGCTGTTAGCACTGACAAAGGGCCGCCGGGTCAGGCAGCCGAAGCAAGTGCAGAGTCACAGAAGCGACAATGCTTCAGCCCTGCATAAATCTGCAGTTCAACCCTTTCAAAAAAACTTAGTCATTTTTAAGCTGTTACAGTCACAGTAAATATGTTTTTGATTGGGTACTGTATACTGTATACAGTCAAAAACTCAAAGCGCTAGAGGCCACTAGAGGGCGCTAGAGGGCACTAGGGGGCGCTACAAGCCCTTCTTCATTCTCTCAAAAAAAATGCTAGTGGTAGTACAAGAGCAGTCCTGAAATCCATCGAAATCGAAATTGACGGTCGGCCAAAACTGACATGCCATGACATGCCTCACTGTGCGAGCCACACCTGGAAGCAGCTCTCTTGGACGCCCTTCAGCCGCCTTACCTGACAACATCTGACAACTGTTGGATCCTGGAATCGTTCAAATCGTTGAATCATTGGGCACATTGGTGGATCATTGGATCAAAAGGGGGATCTTTTGTTGCATGGCAACAAGAACCTCGCCGCACCTGCTGCAGTTCTGCCCGCAGCTGGAGCAGAAGATCCATCAGACCCGGCATGAATCTCAACTGGGCAACAGCTGTCTGGTTCGGCGGTGGGGTGCAGGGTCAGCATCTCGTGAAAGCAACCATGGAATAGCGCCGGGTTCCCAAGTATCGAGGTGTGAACATCTGTGAACTACTCTTCCATTCCCGCGCATGAACCGCACCGAACATGAAGAGACGATTGTTCAAAGTTCAAACTGTCGGCAAAAGGTTGACAACAAGGCTACAGTTCAAAGCTGGGAAGGTTTTGCAGGGGTTCAAACGAAATAGCATTTTTTGGATCGAGTCGCCAGGGGATCTTCAGTGTCGGAACCGTCAAAGAGGTGCCATAGTGTGTCCACGAAGCTCTTCAGCCGCTTGGCTGAGGTGAGATGAATCTGGAACAAGTTAGAGCAAATGTCACGGATGTTCAGCAGGAAACAGCAGGACTCAAGTGACTCACAAAAGCACACAAAAGCACTCAAAAGCACTCAAAAGCACGCCCTTGAATTCTTGACCGTGAATTCAGTGAATTCCAAAATCCGCCCACACCGCTTTGGCGGTGAAGGCGTGCTTATTGGGGGGCAACAGCAACACTAAATGCTCAATGACATTTGTTAATATAGCAGTCGCTATATCAGCTTTAGCTGGGGGGGGGGCCCAAAAACGGTTTCGCACCGAGACCAGACCCCAAAAACGGTTTCGCACCGAGACCAGAATTCGGTGGTGTTTTCGACATTTTTCGAGGATTTTTGGGTGTCTGAGCCCAAGAGGGTATTGAAATGGAATTTTGGGTCATTTTGGTAGCTTTCCGGCAATGGAAAAACGGCCAAAAATGAAAAAAACATTGTACATAGCAAGATTTTGCAGGGTTTTTGGATGCCAGAGCATTGAAAACACTGCAAAAACAAGTGTTTTGGACTGACGTTATAGCAAAAAACGTGTAAATTACCGTATGCTTGACTGGAAACATTACAAAAACACTGTCAAAAGCAATGTTTTGGAAGGATTTACTGCCTTTATGGCAAAAAACGTGTAAATTACCGTCTGTTTGACTGGAAACATTGGAAAAACACTGTCAAACACAATGTTTTGCAAGGATTTCTTATATATATGTTGGACTTGGCTACCGGCATTGGAACATGGAAAAATTGAAGAAAACACTGTAAATAGCGGTATTTTCAACGGTTGGGGAGATAAGGGAATTGGAAGCATTGTCGAACATGATGTTTTCGACCGGTTTTATGGCGACAAAAGTGTAAAGTACCGTGCTTTGAAGGAAACCATTGCAAAAACATGGAAACACATTCAAAGAACACGGGATTTGGGGGACTATCTAGGCGTCGTTGTCTAGCTATTTGAAATTCCGCAGCTTGGAGAGCCTCCAAGGGAGGGAAAAGTGAAAATTCCATAGCTTGGGAAGCTGTCACGGCGGGGAAAAGTGAAAATTCCCTAGCTTGGGAAGCCCCCACGGGGGGGAAAAGTGAAAATTCCCTAGCTTGGGGAGCCCCCACGGGGGGGAAAAGTGAAAATTCCCTAGCTTGGGGAGCCCCCACGGGGGGGAAAAGTGAAAATTCCCTAGCTTGGGGAGCCCCCACGGGGGGGAAAAGTGAAAATTCCCTAGCTTGGGGAGCCCCCACGGGGGGGAAAAGTGAAAATTCCCTAGCTTGGGGAGCCCCCACGGGGGGGGAAAGTGAAAATTCTTAGCTTGGGGAGCCCCCACGGGGGAAAACCACCCTTAGCCCCTCTCACGGACCGAAATAAACCTGCGGTGTGGGCGGCCACCCCACGCGAAGCGGGGTGAATATTCCAAACATCATGAAGCGCCTCAGCAACTGCCAAGGCGTGGAGCATCTCCCTGAGCTTCTGATGCTCCAATAGCCATGGCAACGTGCTGCAGGCTGCTTCCCCTACAATACCTCAAGCAGGATCACACAGGTGCCAGGACATACCGGAAACGTGGTACCAACCCTGGGCGCTGTGCTGCAGCTTGAGACGTACTGAAAGTTATGACCCTGAAGGCTCTGGTCTTTCTGAAATGACGGCAGAAATCCACATGGTGCCCTGACCTTCCTGCTGCGCCGCTGTAAGAAGAACTGTCTGAACTCCTTTGGAAGCGAGGTCCGATAAACAGACCCGGATTGGTTGCAGGAAGCACACAGCAGACATAGGGGTTTGGTGGGAAGAATCAAATGGAGCCATATTGATTTCAGACTCCAAAATCAATTTTTCCGTCGGAACCATGGCGCCCCTACGTGACTGCAACAAATCATAATTTGTTTGCAAAAATCGATATACTTCAACTTCCCTTGGTCTGCTCTGGTGTCCTTCTCGCAGGAGGATCGCTCCATTGCACCTGCACAAAGATGCCGACATTATATAAGCAAATTGTCGAAGCAGATTATGTTTTTTGGTCTATGAGAGTCTATCAAGTGATTCTTTGAACTCGACTCGACTTTCTGACACGAAGTGATCCAGTGACGATCTGGAAACTTACAAGGCTGAGAAAACAGAAACGGAACCGGAACGGACCGGAACGAGAATCGAAACTGGCCCAATGGCTAGGAAACTAGGCAGTGCCATTGACTCGACTGCTTAGTTCTCTTCGCTGCAAACGGGAAAGCAATCGGGAAAGGGGAATAAGAAGAGGCGGATACAACTATTTATTGGATAGGAATCACGAGATGAATGGTGAGTTAATGGAGGATAAATCTGGAACCACCTTGGATCTAGCGCCTATCCTGTTTCTGATGCGGACACCCCAACTTCATGTGCAGTCTGTGGCACAGTCCTCATGGGCTTCTGACTTCCATCTCAGTTGTGTACAGCTTCTGCCAGCCAGTTCCAACTATAGGCTTTAGGATCCAAATATACAAGTAGTATTCGTGACAAACACTTTTTCTTAACACTTTTTCTTGGCTTGTACATAATTCAACTGCGTGGAAGACAATTCTGATATATAACTAAGTCGAAGGTGCCGTTCAGTGATGCTTAAGAGTCAAACACTTAACTCAAAGACTCACAAGGGATTGAGATTCTTCACCGAACAGAGTCTCTCTGAGTGAATCATCCCGAGAATTCTACCTCCAGCGATTTGCCCGAGCCTACTAGATGCCATAGCCGCCAACAACTGACAGCACTTTGTGCTGGTTTTGGCATCCTGACCGTAGGCAGGCATCAGCACCTGGAGCGTCGCCGAGATTTGGGTTCGTAGAGCATGTGTAGAGCACGTACTTCTCATCTTTCAACATCTTTCATAAATTCAAAGGCAACAACAGAATTCATGTAGGAACATCTTCTTCATTTGTCCATGTGTCGAATGCCTTCTCATCAAAAGAACCATTGGCAAATGGCCAGGAGATGCCAGGAAGTTGTTCTGCATGCTATGATGCCATTTGAAAAAAACAAAAGCTCAGCATGGCTGTCCTGGAAACACCAAAAGTACCTTAACCAAAAGATTCTGCCGCAAGCTTCACGACTCCCACATCATACTCACATCCTTCAAATGTGCTGCTACGAGTTTATGATTTTTGGTAACACCCATTGCAGCATACTCATGACTCTGGGGTGGTAGCAGCCCAAGCCTGCAAGATCTCAGCAAATAGAGGACCGCATTTCTCTTCTGGAAACAGCCAGGATGCAAGCTAACAGAAGGCTAGTGCTACGATGTTCTGTGGCCTGCCAAACCAGGCAATCCAGTAGTTTTTGGGGAGACATCAGCTTGCCATTCATACAAAGGAATACTCTTATGAGATGCATCGTGCTGAATACAAAATGAGTGTGTTGCTCCATCATTCAAAGGCATCAGGTTCAGAAGAATCTCAAGAGAGGCTTCGAATGCCTGATCAACCACCAAGCTCCTGCCCCCCAGTCCCAGTCCTACTAGACGGCTGGCAACACCTTGGCAGATCAAACCTGCTCTTCCCTTCAATTTGAGAGTTGCCGTTCCCTGTGCACAGTCTCTTTCAGGCTCCGCCCTAGGGCGTAGCTCCAGGTGCCCAGACTTGGGAGATCTGTGGACATCTGTTGCAGCACAGCCACTGTGGCGTGAACCACTTGCACTTCCTGCAGGGAATCGTATTCACCACAGCTTCATGCTTCACAACTGGGGTCATGTTTGGTCAAAACTTAGTCAAAACTGGTTCATGTGTCATGACTGTCAAGTAGCCAAAAGTAGCCAAAGTGTCAAAGCGCACCTCGTCTCGCCAACCATGATGTTTCAACCGCTGTCGTTGCCATGCAAAATTCAAGTGTTGCACCAGCAACCTGGATGAACGTGGCATCATGAAGCTTCGCTGCTGTCTACATTACATTTCTTGTAAGCTTGAAGGAGACAGAACAATTGACTGTGAGACTAGTGAAACCAGTGGAACTGGTCCGGTCATTATCTTCTTTTGGTCTTGATCATTGTGGGATTGTTCAGTGTTTCTTAAAAGGTATTAATAGTAGAAACTGTCGCTATCTGGCTAAAGTTTGCCGTCTGTCTGCCAAAAGTCTCAACCTAAAGAAGCCAACGCTTCAGAATGGTCTCAAAACCACAACTCCACGCAGTTTCCAACTCGGATTGTTTGACAGGTAACTGGACCAGCTCGCGACAATACGGTTTTTCTTCTCCATGCTGATCTTTCCAACTGCTCTGGTTGTAGATGATCCACACCTTTCAATGCTGCCAGGATGGCTGCACAACTAGCGAGGATTTGTGAGATGTCAATTAGAAAGGACTAATATAGAGATTAAATTCCTGTCACATGTTTGGAGGTAAAGAGGAAGAAGGTATGCAGAAAAACTATGAAAAACCTAGACCTAGATATTAACCAGCGTTCCTTCTCTCTCAACGCCAAGCCACTAAATCGGCCACACCTGATGAGCCTGATGCCTCGCCGAGGTCCTTCCATTGCAAGCTGACCTTTGACCGTGGCCTACGGCATAGGCTCTTTTGACTACACAGCCGGTGAATTGTTTAGCTTCTCTTGAGTCAGACTTATTCGCAACTTTACCATGTACTGTTTGTACCCATCATCAGATGTGTCGGGACTCCTGGAGAAGGCTCACAATGGATTGCAAGCCACCCATGGAGAATGCCAGCCAAGCAAAGGAATCCCCTCCCTGGCGCCGCATTGGAGGGCCGAAGGGTCGGCAAATTGAACCTAATTTAACCATATCTAACCACCAAATCATCACTGGTGCTGAAGGATGATGAATTCCAACAAAGCACCAACTGCAGTGGCAGTTTCTAGGTAGCGGCTTAAGGTTACATCAAAGGACTGGTACTTCTGTACTCCTGACCAATTTGGCCAATTAGACATGGCTGTGTCCCAGGTCTTACTTATATAAGTCGCAGCAGTTCCAATGAGCACCTCACCCACTCATTGAAGCAAACCCTGTCTGTTCTGTTTGATGATATTTGATGCATCAACCAGTGGACTCACTATTCCAATATACGCTCAAGGCATCTCTCCATCCTGTGTTTCCAGAGTCAAGTGTGGATCTTACCACCCATAGGGGATATGATGCGGCAAGCCTACCCTGGGACCCTGCCTCTCCCTTCCAGCACCGCAAGCACCCCTGGACAGCTTGTAGCCCACCAGCGTCCACTGCCCAAGCAGTAGCTGAGGCGCATTTCTGTAGGAGCCTCGGGCACTGGGATCTTGTGGAAAGCTCATGCAGTGCATCAGCCGCAACCCTTCCTGGGCCCTGGCCTCATGATTCAGTGGCATCATGCGAAGGAAACATTAAGATCCACCCAAGACTTTCGTCCATTTGCTGCTGAGTTGCTGCATGAGTGCCCATGCCTTGGTTGATCATCTAAAAAATAATCTAACCATACTTCTGGTCAATCTTGAGATCTTGTCTCTGCTCCACCTGCTGCTGAGTCACTGCATCTTGCGCCAACTGAGGGTGATTGGGAGATATGGCTTCCACGAGGGACTTCACACAAGTGCGGGCATGCCTGGGCGGGTCAATGTCTCATGGCTTCCACAAGATGTCGTCCCTTTCTGGTCTCTACCCAGCCTACCCTGTTTGAGCTTTTGGCCACCTGAATTCAATAAAGTGGCCAGATCACATCGGCAATTCCTAGCGTTCTTGGGAATTACAAACATGTACCAGTAGGTTTCCTTTCCCAACCTTCAAATCCGTCAAGCCCTTTAAGCCCTTTTCCCAAGTTTCGGAGTTTGGTTGCAGCCAAGGTCACATTTCGCAGATCTGCAGGCCTTGCAGTGTCATTTCTGCCATGGTCAACCTTGCACACCAAACAGGTGGCACGATTGAGGGAATTGGGAATCTTTTGGACCTGGAGATTGAACATGTTCCAACTGCTGACCACTGAGTTTGAACATCTTTGAATTCTCAATTCAGTGGTGAGCAGTCCGTTCCCATTGCTTTTGGAGCATGTTTTTTCATAAAGAAAATCTGAGAAGTTCTGACAGTTCTTACTTCTTTGTTCAGGAAAATACCAAGGAGCTGAAGTTGGGAGTCGTGGAAGTCCTTCGCTAATTTGGCCAACCTGGTTGAACCATGGAATCACGTGGAGATCATGAGCCAGGTGCCAGGTGCAAGTCTTGGGGGTTGGAAGCGATTCCATGAAACGATCAACGTCTCCTGAGACTCGGATAGGTTTGCGACAAATGGCCCTATGGCATCTATGGCCCTATGTGCTTGCAGGTGTTCGGTAACAGGGATTGGACAAGCCAATCCACAGAGGAATTCTCCGCATCTCAAGCATTCCAAAACATCCAAAAACCTTGAGCAAATTGTTAGCAGAGGGTAGTTTGCTCAAGGCTCAAGACTGCTTGCAGAAAATCGCTTCTCCTTTTCGTTCCAGCAGTGGACATTTCCCCCCTCAATGGGGATGCGATATCGCTCAATGGAGCACTGCCACTGGGCCACTGGGCCACCACGCTCTTTCATGGCAAAGGCTCCCTGTGCTGTGCCTCCACTGGTGGCTGCCTGTGCCGCTTGCCACGCCCTGGCCTCCGGTGATTGAATCAGTTGACATTTGCCGGTGATGCTGCCGCTCATCATCCCAGAAACCTAAGGGACTTTGGGATTATTTTGTCCTTTGCTCAGTTTCAAACAAACTGTTTATACTAGGCGGTGCACAAAACGAAGTCAAAGTCTTCGTACGTTAGTGCGATTGTCAAACAAAACTCTTCGCATCTCTTCGCCATTCATGAGTAGAAGTTCAAGAGCTTTTAAATCCGCCAAAGTCCACATCGATCTTTTCATATCTGTGCTCTCTCCACCAAAAAGTCCCATGCGATCCACCTTGGCATGCGATCCGCTTTGCGGAGACATGACTCAAAGGCCGTCTGTAGGAGTTGCAATTGCTGGAAATGGATGAAGGCTGGTAGTGGCTAGGGTGGATACCTACCTATGTTACTACTTCAAACTTCCAAAGTGTTGAAATTCATATGGACTTTGAAGCACAGGTTTTTGCTCTATGTCAGGGATATTGGCGTATTTAAAAATAGGGCTTCTGGGAGAAACAGGTCCGAAGAATTCAAAGGAACGTCGTGACATGTCGTGACCATCCTATCGGACCAACTTTTCAGTCTCATATTGAGAAAAGGATAGAAAAGGATCACATCATCACATCATCACACTTTCGACACTTTCGATCTCATGCCGAATGTCTACAGTGTCAAGTGTATTGCCTTGTGCCTAAGCTACGTATCCCAGCACGACCAAACCTTTCAGCAGAAGAAAGCTGAGCCAAAACATCACCATAAATATCAAGAATGAATGAACAGCACCTGCATACCCGTCATACCCGTGATGAAATAGTTCTATGTATATATATATATAATTATATATATACATGCTTGTTGGTTCTCGTAATATGAAGGAGTGGGGAGTCAAAGGCCACAGGCCACAGGGCATCTCCGGCCCACCGCAAATTTGCTGAAGCAGTCCTTGTGTTCTGTACAAAAATCTGCCAAGTTATTAAACTAATTTAAACTATATGAAATGTATATGATATTACTTGATATTTTTAGATACATGCCAGTACGCACAGGATCATGGAGGTAACCTATACGTATGTTGATATGGCTCTCTGGCGGTGAAGTTCTGCCAAAAGCCCATAGCCGCCATAGCCTCATTCACGTTTTCTTCTTCGACTGAAAATTGGCCACATGACCGCTGGTGGGAATAGCCAAATCATCCCAGAAATTTCGAACGTGAGCACGCCGCCTCAAGCTAAGATACGAAGAAAAATTCAATTTGAAAAACTATCCCGAAGTACAGTAAAATGTCTTGGTGGCTCTTCCACTGGCTTCGTGTCGAAAGTTGATGCGGAGATGCTCAGCTGAAAACTCCCCCCGCAAAGTTACTTTGCTGTTTGCTGGTCTTAGGGATTGTGCATTATCAACCCAGTTTGATTGAGTCAGAGCGCAGGAGCGGTGCACGTGCCGTAGCTGCAAACTGAGTCATAAACCACAGACATTCACAAATCATAGATGTGATCCAAAAACTCCACAGACCGTAAAGGGGAACAAAAAACAATCCAGCACGTCCGTTCAGTTCGCCCCCTACCTCCGCCCGCTTTGGGGCAGCAACAGTCCGGATCCAGTCGTGTCATGTCGTGTCTCGCTCATTGCTCCAAGATTGAAAGCTGCAGTGCCACTTGGAGCATGGCATCGTCGGAGTGGTCCTCTTCCTGCGGAAACACTCGGAGGAGTTGAGCCAGATCAGAGCTGAGAACTTGAGAGCATGGCAGGGAGAACACGCCAGATCCGATTTATTTTCTAAAATATCTCACGCCCAAAAGCAACATCAAAAATGGCTGGAACTGGCAAATGCACAAGAGAAAACATAAGAAATCTACAGAAATCTTCCCGGATGTCTACCTTGCAGTTTTCAGAGGGTTGAGGTCGGACCTGCCAATCTCGCCAGCAAGCCTGGCAGTAGGAAAGGCCTGGATGGCAAGGGGATCACCCGACATTGGGACGAAAGAATGTTGTCATTGGCTCATCTGCTTCAGACGTCTTACTTACCCCTACAGGTTACGAATGGTAAGTGCAGGGTCTGCACCCGTAGGGTTGGCTTTGCAAAAGCTGAGTACCTGACCTGCCGATGCACACATGGCACACGAATTACAACTGGGTGTCCCCACCATCCCTCGACTCCTGTAGTGGTGCATCAGCTCCACAGCGGTCACACATTGGCCCTGGCACCACGGTGCAGCGTCGACCGCATCGTGGCTTAAATTTCCACATGATTCCGAATGGTCATTCCCGACAGAGAGGATGATTGCCCGCTTATCTGCATCATTGACTTGCTTAATGAACTTCCTTAAATTACATTTGTGTAGTTGAGGATGCATTCTCCAAAAAGGTTCCAACGTTCCAAATGAACCAACACAAATATCCACAGTTCATGACACAATTCAGATACGCAAGAGGTTGCTACCGAATCATCGTCTCTGTCAAGGCACCTCTGCTCTCAGGATACCAAAAAATAGCAACGGAAACGCGGCCGTCCTTTCGCAATGCTGACCACACCGGTTCTCTGCCGCAACAAGGAGATAGAGATTCAATATGAATAAAATGAGGCACAGGCCCAGAGGCCACTGATGCCACAAATCCCAGAGTTCACATATCTCAAAGGAGATGCCAACGGTTCAACGGCAGTTAGACACTTGTTGCTGAAATTTGGTGAACCTTCTCAGCTGTACAAACAGTGTGTATGAATAAGTTATATATACAAATTAAATAAGTTCTGGACGGAGTCGGTCCTTTACCTCTGGCATCTTCGGCACTGAATGTCGCTGTGTGCCGATGACAATTACATCCCCGTCGTTGAGGAGAACAGGATCTCCATCTACAGTGAAGACTCTGGGCCTTATCCAGCGGCCATGAGACTCAAGAACCATTCCCAAACAAGTCCAGACCTTCAAATGATCCAAAATGAAGCAAGGGGTTGTCTACTATTTCCACTATGTGTATATTATATATATACGTATGTATATAATTGATCTTTAATGCACCACTGGAGATAGGCTGTCGAATGTTACAATTTGCTGTGCAGCCATCTGGTCCCTTTTGACCCTCTCGAGGTCGACACGCTCCCAGTGACAGGATTGCAGACCAAAAGTCATGCTGATGCAGAGCAATGCTGGTGTTCCCATCCTGATGGCATTCAAATGGGTTTTCCGGTGATCCCTAATGAACCCACCTAGCTTTATATTAAAAACTGCTGAACTTCCATATCAAGACTCCTCACCGAGCTTGACTTTGGGAACTTCATAGAGGCTTTGTATCACTCCAAAAACACAGCAATTCCCCCATAAGGCCCGAAGCTCGGGATAGAAGTTGTTGAGCAAGAAGGCCCTAGGGTCCTCAACCGGATTCTCGTGTTCCGACGATCCGTGAGCTGCACTGCAAAGAGATTGCTGAAACTCAACATAGATCAACATAGTCAAGGGGCTCCATCTCAGTATGCGAAAAAAAAATATGTGTTTCAACAAGCCAGGTCCTTGATGGTCCTTGATGTCCAAATCTCGCAGGTGTTGCAAGACGTCATCAAGACGTCGGATGCCGGTAAACAGACCAGGGTAGCTGCAGTCCTGCCAGAATCAATTCCGCTGTCAGGAAACATGTTGACAGAGGGCGCAGTCTTCACCCAAGGTATCAGTACTGCGGCATACCAATCTTGGCGCAGTCTTCGCAGGTTTGAAACCAGCTCAGCATTTGTCAAAGAAACTTTGTTCATGCTACTACAAACCAGTTGTCCAATCTCAAGACATTTCCCGAGCACAATGGGCTCGACAGCATTTACTTTCCAATCTAAACTCTGAAAATTGAGTACTGCAGGCTGTAGGTCCAAACATTCCAAGTACTGATTTTTCATCAATTTATTCGTAGAAAAGATGTCAAAAATTCAAAAGGAACCTATTTCCTGGAGAATAAAGGGTTTGCGTATTCTCCCAACATAAACGTGACCGCTTTGCGCTGTCCTGTCGACTCGAAGCAATGTTTGTGACCTGCAGAGAACTAGCTAATGAGACAGGTAAGTCGTTGGGTGCATCACAAGGAACTAACACAGCGAGCACAGTGCCGTATATGTCCTGCTGCTGTTTCTTTGAAAAGACTTGCTGTCAGGAACAAACGTCTAATTAATCTATGTTCGGCTGTTGTAGCATCTGTATATTCAATATTCAGTATAAGCTCCTTTCAATCTCATTCCACAGCCTTAACCATCCTTAACCTCCCCTGTTTGGTAGTTGCGCTTGCGGAAGACGGCCTGACCATTGCACACCCTGCCCGGCCCATCCTTATCAAAGTGCCAAGAAAAACAACATATGTTTTTCAACACACCATTTTCACGAAGCTACAACCGTAACCTTCCTTGGGTACTGTAGTTTCATGTTGTGCCTGGTAGTTCAACCCACGAAAGGACGTGACTCACTGCTTCCCAAACAAAAAACGTCTTGCGTGGAGGCCTGACGCCATGGCATTGCTTGTGCACATTCCAAGTAGAGGCCTTTGGTGTCCTGGAGTCCTGCGCAAAACTGTCACTGGCAAGCTGATTCAGCTGATTTGTCTGTTCCATCTTCATTGGTTTTAATCCACGTTCGATCCTCATGGAAAGCAAAACACAGCTGCGGCTCAAAGGCCGCACTTGGCGCCAAGTGTGCTTAAAGTACTCGTGGATGCAGTCCAAACAAGCCTCAGTCCTTAGCATAGTTCCTCAAGAGCGATGCAGGGCGGAACGGCTCGATGCCCAAGCTCAGCATTCTCAGATTATATTCCGCCACATAGGGAGGCACATCCCTTGGCCAGGGCAAGCTGCAGTTTCAGACCCGCTCATTAGTTTGCTGAATGTTTGCCGTTGACTAGATGTCCACATATGAGTAAACAAATAAGCTCATGTGATCATCTCAAGCATGACTGCAGCATTCAGCTGCTAGTGGTTTTTTTTTCTTCTGGAGCATCTGTCTTGTAGCCGCCAACATGAGTTCTTGTAGGAACCAATGGTAACCAAGGATCTTGGGTCTCTTCACTGTGCCACTGGCGTCATCTGGCTCTGAGTGACCCATCCCAAGGCTTGCTCTAATTCATCAGCCACCTGCTCCTTGCTGTGGCCCGTGCTCAGTAAGAAGCGCCTCAGTTGGAGGCACTGAAGCCAGGCCCAGAAAGAACCAGTTTGGAAAAGAGGATCCCATTACTCAAAGAAATCCAATAGTTGGAGATACAATTCTAAGAGCCTCGAGATCATCCGCCCAGTCTTCGTGTCCAGTTTTCCCTTGTCAGCGTGGTGAAGTTGCAATGCATCTAAGATCTATGTAGGTATTGACCGTGTACAAATAAATACGTTTTCTTCTATACCTATATTTACAATCATACAAATACTTATATAGTAGAAAATTGAAAGTTAGAATGCCGCGCAGGGCCACCAAAAAAAATCCATTGAAAGTTAGAATGCCATACCATAATTGTCTGAAAAAATCTACCAAAATTCTACCTTTTAGTCCGTATTATGCTTGTAAATGTGGATATATTGTTTTCAAAAATTGTTTGATCAAATTTACCTCCCTGTTGTGCCGGGGCCACCAAACCTTTATTTTTTGTAGGGTTAGAATGCCTCCGCAGCATATGCCCCCAAAACATCTGAATTCTATAAAGATTTTAGATAGATAAATGAAATCTTGGTCCCCAATGACGGTTGAGATAAGTACTTACCACAGTTTGAAATCATCATCATATATCCTACATCAACCAAATCCCTGAAAAAAGCGGGTCGAGCTATCAAAACCTGGTTTTGAGCTAGTTTCTGCGAAAAAAAAGTTTTAGTCAACAAAACCAGGTTTTTGATGAAGCAGCTTCGCCACAACCCGTAGAAAACCGTCCAAAACCTGTAAAAACTCATCAAAACCCATAAAAAACCGTAAAAAACCGTAGTCCAAAACCGACCAAGAGTTTGGTTTGCCGGGGCCACCAAACCTTGTTTTTTGTAGGTTTAGAATGCCTGAGCATATGCCCCCAAAACTTCTGAATTCTATATAGATCTTGAATATATAAATGAAATCTAGATGTGAGTAAACGACGTCTTCTTGGATCGGCGGATGACGATATTGCATCTTTCCGCATATTATGTCATTTTTATTGATCTTTTTTTTGGCTGAACATGAGAATGATTTTTGCAAATACCTCAAATATCTGCATATTCTACATATTCAAAATGCGATATTGCATTTTTTCTGCATATCATGCCATTGTTTACTGTTCATGAAAAGATTTGTTTGCAATTTGCATCCATATTCTGCATATTTGCAGTACATGGAAGACACGGGACGGTCGAAAATTCATTAAGAATTTTGGAGTTTTAGGGTTTTCAGGACTAATCAAATAGGGTTAGAATGCCCGTCGGGGATTTTCCCACGGTATTCCCCCCGATAATGTAAATGTTGATTGAAAAGGATGGTAACCTCCAAAAACGGCATTATACACAGACGATGTTGCATATTTTCCAGTACTCTGTAATGTTTTATTGATCATGTTTTTTCTGATCATGAGCATGTTTTTTGGCAAATACTGTATATTCTGCATTTTGAAAATAACAATATGATGTTGCATTTTTTTGCATATCATGACAGTGCTTATTGTTCATGGAAAGATTTGTTTGCAATTTACATGCATATTCTGCATATTTGCAGTACATGGCAGGCACGGGACGGTTGAAAATGCCCCAAGAATTTTGGAGTTTTAGGGGTTTCAGGACTGAACAAATAGGGTTAGAATGCGCGTCGGGATTTTCCCACAGTATTCCCCATGATAATGAAATGTTGATTAAACAGGATGGTAACCTCCGAAAACGGCATTATACACACATATATATGCGCTGCATATATTACATATATGTACATGCATGTACATGCATATTAGATGTGAGTAAACGAAGTGTTCTTGGATCGGCGGATGCATATTCTGTCATTTTTAGTGATCATGTACTTTTTTGCTGATCATGAGAATGATTTTCGCAAATACCTCAAATATCTGCATATTCTACATATTCAAAATGCGATATTGCATTTTTCTGCATATCATGACAGTGCTTATTGTTCATGGAAAGATTTGTTTGCAATTTACATGCCTATTCTGCATATTTGCAGTACATGGAAGACACGGGACGGTCGAAAATGCGTTAAGAATTTTGGAGTTTTAGGGGTTTCAGGACAAAGTAAATAGGGTTAGAATGCCCGTCGGGGATTTTCCCACGGTATTTCAATGTTGATTAAACAGGACGGTGACCTCCGAACATGGCATTTTACAATATTATACACACATATACATGCGCTGTATATATTACAAATATGTACATGTACATTCATGTTAGATGTGAGTAAACGAGGTGTCTTGGATCGGCGGATGACAATATTGCATTTTTCTGCATATTATGACACGATTTACTGGTCATGGAAAGATTTGTTTGCAAAATAAATCAAATTCTGCAAATTTGCAATACATGGAAGACACGGGACGGTCGAAAATTTGTTAAGAATTTTGGAGTTTTAGGGGGTTCAGGACTAAATAAATAGGCTTAGAATGCCCGTCGGGGATTGGCATTTCCCCCGACAATGAAATGTTGATTGAACAGGATGGTAACCTCCAAAAATGGCATTACACACAGACGATGTTGCATTCTTTCTGCATATTCTGTCATTTTTTGTTGATTATGTTTTTTTGCTGATCATGAGCATGTTTTTTTGCCATTTTTTGCCCATACATGCATATTCTACATATTCATAGTACGATATTGCATTTTTCTGCATATTGTGACATGTATTATTGGTCATGGGTAGATTCTTTTGCAATTTACATGCATATTCTGCATTTTTTCAGTACATGGAAAAGATGGGACGGTCGAAATTGCGCCAAGAATTTTGGAATTTCAAGGGTTTCAGGACTAAATAAATAAGGTTAGAATGCCTGTCGAAAATTTCCCACGGTATTCCCCACGATAATGTAAATGTTGATTAAACAGAATGGTAACCTCCGATAACGGCATTATACACACATATATATGCGCTGTATATATTACATATATGTACATGCATGTACATGCATATTAGATGTGAGTAAACGAGGTGTTCTTGGATTGGCGGATGACGATATTGCATGTTTTCTGCATATTCTGTCAAGTTTTATTGATCATGGGTAGATATTTTTGCAATTTACATTCATAATCCTCATATTTGCAGTACATGGAAGACACGGGACGGTCGAAAATTCGTCAAGAATTTTTGAGTTTTAGGGGGTTCAGGACTAAATAAATAGAGATAGAATGCCGTCCCGGATTTTTTAAGGGGTTTCAGGACTAAATAAATAGGCTTAGAATGCCCGTCGGGGATTTTCCCACGGTATTTCCCACAATAGTAAAATGTTGATTAAACAGGATGGTAACCTCCAAAAACGGCATGATACACAAACAATATTGCATTTTTTCCCAATATTCTGTAATGTTTTATTGATCATGTTTTTTTTGCTGATCATGAGCACGTTTTTTTGGCAAATACTGTATATTCTGCATTTTGAAAATAGCAATATGATGTTGCATTTTTTTGCATATCATGACAGTGCTTATTGTTCATGGAAAGATTTGTTTGCATTAGATGCATATTCTGAATATTTGCAGTACATGGAAGACACGGGACGGTCGAAAATGCGTCAAGAATTTTGGAGTTTGAGGAGTTTCAGGACTGAATAAATAGGGTTAGAATGCCCGTCAGGGATTTTCCCATGATATTCTCCACGATAATGTAAATGCTGATTAAACAGGATGGTAACCTCCAAAAACGGCATTATACACAAACGATATTGCATTCATCATTTATAAAAAATGCTCTGTCATTTTTTATTGATCATGTTTGTTTTTGCTGATCATGAGCGTATTTTTGGGCGAATACCTGCATATTCTACATATTCATAATACTATATTACATGTTTTCCTTGTATTAGAACAGTGTTTATTGTTAATGGAAAAAATGTTTGCAATTTACATGCATATTCTCCAAATTTGCAGTAAGTGGAAGACACGGGACGGTCGAAAATGCGCCAAGAATTTTGGAGTTTTAGGGGTTTCAGGACTAAATAAATAGGGTTAGAATGCCCGTCGGGATTTTCCCACAATATTCCCCATGATAATGAAATGTTGATTAAACAGGATGGTAACGTCCGATAACGGCATTATACACACATATATATGCGCTGCATATATTACATATATAACATATATGTACATGTACATGCATATTAGATGTGAGTAAACGAGGTGTTCTTGGATCGGCGGATGACGATATTGCATTGTTTCTGCATATTCTGTCAATTTTAGTGATCATGTAGTTTTTTGCTGTTCATGAGATTTTTTTTGGCAAATACCTGCATATTCTACATATTTATAATACGATATTGCATTTGTCTGCATATTATGCCATTGTTTATTGTTCATGGAAAGATTTGTTTGCAATTTACATGCATATTCTGCATATTTGCAGTACCATATACATGGAAGACACGGGACGGTCGAAACATGCATCAAACATTTTGGATTTTTAGGGGTTTCAGGACTAAATAAATAGGGTTAGAATGCCGTGCCGTTTTTTTAAGGAATTTCAGGATTAAATAAATAGGGTTAGAATGCCCGTCCGGAATTTTCCCACGATATTCTCTTCGATAATGAAATGTTGATTAAACAGGATGGTAACCTCCAAAAACGGCATTATACACACACACATATATATATATATATGCGCTGTAATTATGTACATCTACAATCATGTACATACATATTAGATCATATTATTAGATGTGAGTAAACGAGGTGTCTTTGGATCGGCGGATGACGATATTGCATTTTTTTTGCATATTTTGTCATTTTTTTCATCATGGGTAGATCCATTAGTTTTCATGGGTTTTTCATTATTTTGACGATGGTTTTCAATATTGTTCATTGTTTTTTTCATTATATGGTACAACCGAAAGTTATCATGCCACCTTCGTGGAAAGATATGGATTTCAAGAAAAAAAACGCGTACCGCCCGAGAAATCTGGGAGGCATTCTAACCTTATTTATCTAGTCCTGAATCCCCTTTAAAAAATCCGGGACAGCATTCAGTGATTTTTCACTTTCAAGATATTGTTCATTATTTTTCAGTGATTTTTCATTATTTTCAAGGTGTGTTTCATAATTTTTCATTGATGTTTCAATGTCGTTGCATGTGTTTCATTATTTTTCAGTGTTTTTTCAATGTTTTAGAGATGTTTTCATGATGTTTCATTATCTTTTGGGTAGATGTTTTGCAATTTACATGCATATTCTGCATAATTGCAGCACCATATACAAGGAAGACACAGGACGGTCGAAAATTCGTTAAGAATTTTGGAGTTTTAGGGGTTTCAGGACTAAATAAATAGGGTTAGAATGCTTCAGGACTAAATAAACAGGGTTAGAATGCCTCCCGGATTTCTCACGCGGTACGCGGGTCTTTTCTTGAAATCCACTTAAGGCCACCAAAGCGGCATTCTAACTTTCAATTTTCCGGTATACATATAAATATACATGTATACTTGTACTTATACTTGCACTTACACTCATACTTATATTTATACTTAATCCTTATGCTTAGCTTATGCTTATACTTAGACTTAGACTTGCACTTACACTACTACTTTGTACTTCTACTTGTACTTCTACTTGTACTTATACTTGTACTTGTACTTATACGTGTACTTATACTTAGACTTTACTTGCTGTATACATATACATATACGTTATAATATACTTTATACTTTGTACTGGATACTTTATACTTGCTACTTCATATTTTATACTTTATATGTTCTACTTCCTACTTCCTACTTTCTACTTCCTACTTTCTACTGTCTACTTCCTACTTTATACGTTACACTCTATGCTTTGTTCTTTCTGCTTTATGCTGAATGCTTTACACTTTGTGCTTCATGCTTTATGCTTTATGCTTTATACTTTACCTATGCTTGATGCTTTATGCTTTATACTTCATACTTTATACTTTATCCCTTATGTTTTATCCTTTATGTTTTATACTTTATACTTATACTTGTACTTGCAAGTATAATTTTTTACTTACAGTTACAGTTACACTTACACTAACACTAACATTTATACTTAAACTTATACGTATACCTATAGGTATACTTATACTTATACTTACACTTTTCCTTAAACTGTACTTGTACTTGTACTTGTACTTATACTTATACTTATACCTATACTTATACTTGTACCAAAACTAAAACTAAAACTAAAAACTTAAACTTAAACTTATACTTATACTTATACTTGTACTTATACTTATACCAAAATTAAAACTAAAACTAAAAACTTATACTTATACTGATACTTACACTTAGACTTAGACTTAGACTTATACTTTTACTTATACTAATACTTCTACTTCTACTTCTACTTCTACTTCTACTTATACTTATACTTATACTTGTACTTGTACCTGTAGGTGTACTTGTACTTGTACGTATAATCACACTTCTACTTGTACTTATACTTATATTCACACCTTCATTTGTACTTTTACTTGTATTTCTACTTCTACTTGTACTTATGTTTGTACTGATACTTGTATTGTACACGTCCTTTTACTTATACTTGTACTTATACTTATGTTCATGCTCATGCTTATACTTATATTTTTACTTTTACTGTTGTTTTTATTTTTATTTTTACTTCTACTTCTACTTCTATTTCAATTTTACTTTTATTTTTACTTTTACTTTTACATGATATTTACATATATATATATATACAGTACTATGTAGGTATATACGCTATCACATGTATGATATGTATATATAATACATACATATGTACTCACATTAAAATACATGATATACATGATCTCCACTCTATACCACATTGCCACACCTCACCATGGAATCCCATCCTTCCTAGAAATAATCGCACAGATGGAAGTGTGAGAAATGTGGCCATCCCATTGTCACTCACATCCTGCCCTTGAATACTGATTTGATGAAATCCACCACCATCCATGTTTATTCAAGCAAAAATTTACAATAAACCAAAACACTGAAAGTTGATACAAATCCTCAAATACACTCAATCATCACAAAGTGTGTTGGTGGATTTGTTTCACATGGCCAGCTTCAGACAAGCCACGCCCTGAGTTGCAGCCGGTACTCTTTGGCTGCTGGCGACTCCCGGGATTGAGGCAAAGGTGCTGAAGGGCACAGCCAAAACTCTTGGCGTTCGCCATGCTCTACCTGGCAGCGCCGTGTCAAAGCTGGATGCTGGTAATGTCGATTTTTTGAAAATGAATTTATGGATCTGTCACTCAAGGCACTCCTGTGCACCCATAGAACAATTTTCACTCCGAACAAAACAATATCCGGATTCACCTTTTCTATTTGACCAGTCTCCCGGTTCATCTAATTATACAAAAACGCAAGCCAAGATACGCAGCACACCCGGGTTTCTTTTGCTGAAATTTGCGGCTCGGACACTAGGGCCTGTGAACATAACGAAACAATTTGGTTTTCAACACAATCAAAACAACTCGACGCCCCCCGCCCTTGCGTGTTTGTAATCTTGCACATATTGGAACTGTTATGATGCCCTGAAAGAACGGATTTTCAACCGTGGTTTGCGGTCAATGATGATTCAACAACCCCACATTGGCACGAGCGTATGATGCTAGCATCGCATTGGAAATAAATTCAGCAAAATTTCTGGCCACACAGAAATGATCACACATAGTCAGGCACAGTTTAGCACTGACGATTTTGCAAGACCTTGGTTTGTTCATGCCGAATCCGTGCCCAACGACGCCCCGTGGGTATAGTTGGAGGCCCGTCATGTTCAGTCATGCAGGCGGTGTTTTTTTTTCCTCGAGTTTGGCCGATGTCGCGCTAATGGCTCGGTCCTTACATGAGAGTAAGCAGCAAAAACATCTGTACAAGGACGCAAGGTCCTTGAAATCAGCAAATCGATTGAAGCAAAACAAAGAAACAACAACCACACCAAAAGCGACGACCCGCAAATCCCCCAGCCAGACTTGCGTTTCGCCAGCGGAAAAAGCGAAACAAAAAGCAGGAAAACACCGAAACAAAACGGGGCCAGAGCCCAAACGAAAACACCCACAGAATCGATTTGCACCAGGAAGCAGTGGAAAATCCACTGCATCCCTATCAAAAACATGCAAACAAACGAATTATGTGTCGCAGCTGCTCAGGCAGACATAAAGACTCAGCACGGAGGTTAACCCTAGCATGAGCCTAGCTGTACACGAAAGCAGATCAGTCATGCAGGCGGTGTGCTAATCATCAAAGCATGTTTTGCCTTGTATTTCAAATCAGCCATTGTATTTGCAGGGGAAATGTTCAACTCCATTACAAAATTATACAAACAGTAGAAAATGATGACGCAGGATTCCGTCACGGGATTGATGATTCATCCAAGCTTTGCCGTTACTGCCCTGACAATTCATTCATTTCCTTCACCAATCAGATTGTAAAAAATTGGTCATGTTCGAAAAGAGGGAATTTCAAATTTGATGTCATGTCCCCGTCAATGTTTGCACATTTCCATGGCCATGTTGCTGCGCGTCTGATTGACATATTCATTTTGTGACGTCTGTTTGTCTGGAACCAAACTGCTAACCCCAGAACAGTGGCAATCCAAACCATGCCATCAAACATGTTGAAAGCAAAATTACTCACATTTGATTGAATCAAACCCACACCCATGCAATCAAAGATTCACTCACAAAGTTTCAGTGAATGGTGGCAAATTTAAATTCAATATAAATAAAGAAACAAACTGTCATTTGCGACATACTTGCGGCAAACCTTTTCATTCCCTTGATGGGCGATTGATTTTGCAGCGTCACTATTATCAAGGTTCTATACCCACCACGATTCCAGGATCCAAATTCGCCCCTAATGTCCAGCCAACCACTTTAAAATCACACACGACGATCCGTCCATTTTCAGACCACACACGAAAAAGGATGTGAAAGTAACAAATTGCTATTCCCCAACCTTTTTCACACTTGGCACAAAACTGGAAGTGGGCTATCATTTAACCCGCAAACTTATCTGTAAAACATGCCACCACGCGCACACATGTTTTTTTGCAAACTTTTCTGGAACCGAAAGCACCTCAGACTTCGTCTTGATGCTCACTGTGTCATGGGCACAATTCCCATGACTCACATAAAATACGCACAGCTGACGAGAGCAAAAATGTGTTTTTGTATTTGTTTTGCTGATCCAAATCGTCTCGGGCAATCACTTCTTGATTTGTGCATGCTGCACATGACATGCAAACTGACGCAGCAACTTCAATATTTTATTTGGGTGCACTTCAGGGTACACAACTATCTTGCACCCCGCCTATCACAGCCTGCAACTGGTGTCATGCAAACTTTTCTGGAACCGAAAGCGCCTCAGAATTCATCCTGATGTACAGTACTCGATTTGTGCTGTGACATGTGCACAACTGCATGACTGACATGCCTATGCACACAACTGCAAATGCGGAAATGTGTTCCCCGCCTTGATACCAGAATTTTTCTCTTTATCACTATGGCATAGGTTCTGCAGGCCAAGGGTTTGGCCATGTTGTCTCATCTGTTGGAACCTTTTCAAAGTGAAATTCCCTATACTGAAGCCACTTATGTGGACTCATCCCCAATAGGTGACCTTCTCCATTGGTGCCTATGCCTTTCAGATTTTGCAACTTTTGCTTGAGATACAAGCGCCTCAGGATATGAACAGATACTACACCTGTTATGTCACATGGCATGAGTGTACCATGACGCAAAATGAATGTAGTGCAAACAGCGTCAACAGGAAGCACCCCGCCTTGCTGCACACTTTAGAAAGCAGCATGCAAATTGGATGTCAAATCCCTAAAGGAAAACACCAAAACGTCAGGTGTCTCCACTGCACCGCAGGGACGCATATTGCGTGCCTCTACATGGTTGAGCTCGTTACGAGCTTCTGGCAGATTCACCTTTTCAAGTTGGGCTATGGCTATAGGGCTATGTCTCCTCATCGTCTTCCATCTCTTCGGATTCAGAAGGCTCCGCATCTCCATGATGAATCTCCATCCAGGCCTCAGGGTCGCTGACCTCGCACATCTCTGAATGGCCATAGCGAAAGGCCCTTTGAGATTCACTTTCCATTGCCTCATCTGAATCCTCTTCTTCCTCTTCTGCATTTTCATTCTCTCCAGAATTGTCCAACATGAGTACTGCCTGAGGTTGTGGCTGCATCGCTTTCGTCCACAGTTAAATTGGGGCTTTGTTGCCCCCCGCTTCGGCAGGCATCCATAACATTGCAAAGCAACTGAAGTCGTTCTTCATACAATTGCTGTCGTTCCAATGTCGTCGCAACTGATCGCCGTCGAAGGCACCTGCTATAGATAAAGGTCAGCATGGCTTCTAGACTCCATGCAGCATGAGGTTCTGGAAGATCATTTTCATCACGTAGTGCAGGCATTTCAATTGGGTCTGCACCTGCACTGCCAGTGGGAATGCTCGTGCTCGAGCTCGCTGCATTGCTTGAAGGAAATTCATTGTTGGCAGCAAGAATCGCAGCACTAATGTGAGACATTCTGATTGTCTCTTCACCATCGTCAGCCTCATGAGTTGCTGGCTCCTCCAAAACAGGAACATCACCTCCTTGGAGATTTTCTGGACTCCTGGACAGCCAATTGAAAACCCAAATCATCCCAACTCCAATGCACAGGGTGAGGATCAAAGTGAGGAAGTTGCCACCACCTTCAGAAAATGAATCACATCCTTGCAAATGAAGCTGGATCAGGCTCAAGGCGCTGGCAAGGGCTCGACTGCCCCCTCTTTACACAAAGACACGTCCAGGGTCATCAGCTCCCTCGAGGCATCCAGTTGACCTGGTGTACAAACCGAGCAAAGTCATCAAAGATTTCATCCTTGGTGCGGCCAAACGTTTTGCGCTGATATCAGCGGGATTTTGGTGTCCGCTGGTGCTACAAAGTTTCAGCGTTCCATTTCCAACCATCTCTTGTAGCCACAAAATGCGGCAACTCAAATGTCTCAACCTTCCAACGCCTCTGCGAGACAAAATCCCTTTCGCACCACTGCTGCCATTGTAGATGTAGATCAACGTTCTTTTGTTGGTGATCCATGTCAACAGCCTTGCAAGAAGGATGGCGTCACTGGCTCCACTGCTGCAAGCGTAGACTTCAGCTTCTGCAGAAGATAATGAAATCACCTTCTGAGTACGCGATGCTGAATACACCAAGCACCGTTCAAACATCAAAATGCGACAGCTCACAGACCTTCTGCTGACACGGTCCGAAGCCCAGTCAGAGTCAGTGAACACCTCCAAGACGTGTTCATTGGGGCCCACGTCCAGATAGTCGTGGAAAATGCCAGTTGCCTGACCACCCCACTTCAAAGAAACGCAGTGCAAAGGTACCCAACCAAATGTCCAAGCACTGTCAAACTTTTCTCAGTGGGTTTGGAGCTGTAGGTGGACAAGTGCCGAATGACATGTTGAGCCTTGTGGGATGTCATTTGCCAGGTACATCAAAACACCAACGCAAGTCCGGAAAGTTGTGGCTGATGTAGATGAAAGATCTGGTGTATTATCCTCCTTGTCGATGTCAGCATGTGCAGGGCTTTTCTTGTTTTGAATTCAAAAATTCAATCCAAGCAATCCACAAAGCTGGGTGATGTGCTTTTCGTGCGTTTGAAGTGCCAGCCTTCCATCATCATGCAAAGTATACAGTCGTTTCAAGAAGGTCAATTCATCACCTGGCTTCTCAATGCATTGAACTGAAATCTCATATGCAGCCTTGAGTTCTTTCAGAAAATTGCCCAACACGTAATCTCGTTTTCCAACAACAAGCAAATCATCGACATGTATCATTACCACGCAAGATCCATCTTTTGATTTCAAAATGCAAGGGTATGGGTAGTATGGGGTGTGCTCCTCCAGGTCAAGCTTTGACTTCAGAAAGTCGGTAATTCACGATACCACAACAAACTTCCGTCGCGCTGTCCAGGCAACACCTTCCCCAGAGCATAGCTACGTGTAGCTCCACTGGCATCTGTTGTATGGACCAGGGTGTCTCTTTCCTGCTTCACAGTCAGAAAAGCATCTCGAACATCCAAGCTGGCCATCACCATGTTTTCCTTTTCGCGTCTTTCCAACAAAATTGTAGGCAAAAATTCTGGATATGATGCTGCCAGACGCTGGACTGAACAAGCTTTCTCTTTCAGGCGCCAACCAAGCAAACTCACGAGCAACGAACCTCGATCTCCTCAACCAAATTGCTTCGCCCTTTGAGTTGTGCTTTTCGCGCCAAGTGCGCACAAAGCGAGTGCTCAACACTTTTGCAGTAGGTGGCACAACATCAGGGCTTTGCAGAACCTGCAGACGTTCCAGCCTTTGAAGTTCAAGCTGGTCTGCCAACGCATCCAGTCGCAAAAGCTCGTCGGCAATGAGCTCTGGTTCTTTTGCAGAATGAGGAAATGTAAGTTGCTCCATGATCTTGGCCATGTTGGCATCTTCCATTGAACTTGGATCATCTTCATGAAGAAACTGATCATCATAAAACTCCAGTTCATACTTTTCCATGCGATCTACATCATCGTTGTTGAAATCAAATTTCACTGGTGCATCTTCACGTTCGTAAAGACCAAGGTCGGTACTTGTAACCTGAAGCATTCGTTGTTGATCTGGAGAATCCTCAAGCCTCGGAGTCTTTGGGGCTCTTTCACCAGAGGGATCCATGCGATCATCTTTTGGAGTTGTAGGTTGATCATCTCCAACACGCTGCTTTTTGGGGCTACCAGGCAAAACAGGGCTGTCTGCCTCACCACGTTTGAGAGGTCCTGCAACTGAATCCATGGGCTCATTGGCTGCGGCTGTATCAGCCATATTCGAAGCTTTGGCTGCACCAGCTGTGTCAAGGGCTGTAACAGCCTCATCCCCCGCCTCATCTGTTCTGTTGATGAAAGAGGTCCCGTGTTTCCAAAGCCTGCAATCGAGGCGCTTCGAGGCTCGGCGAGGCCTGGCCGAGGCCACGCCTCGGACGCAAAACGTATTGGCACAAGGACAAAGCGAGGCTTACGGTGACTCGAAACAATATAACACTATTGTTGAAGTCCCAGCAAGGTTGCACTTTTTTTTGTCCAAGCCCGTTGCCTTTCGGCAGGTCTACGGTACTTACGAACCACCACCGGTAGTCTGTCAGCGACACAAGAGTGCCGGGATACCAACTGAGCCACGAGGACGACTATCCCAGCAAGGTTGAACTTGAAGTAGTTGGCAACTGTGCTGCCTTGCTAGAATTTTAGGCCGCAGCTGGCGCAGAGGGACGGCCTCAAGGCAAGCCTCGAGGCTTCAAGTTGATGGAAATTGCAGCAAAACAAAAAGTTTATAAAATGAAACAAAGTTGAAGGCAGACCTCAATGCAAGTCTCGAACTCCAGTGTCGCGAGACCATGGAAATTAAAACAAAACACTTTTGTTGGGGATTTTAGCAAAGCTCACACACGTTTCCTTCACGAATTATCTGAATGTGGGCTCTTGGCGTGCAGGGTCAAGAACGACGACCCTTTCATCTTCATCAACAGGGTTGGAACTTTTGGCGTGGCATCAGCAAGTTACTGGTGGGGCAGAATAGCCGCATCTGGAATACGCTTGACATATGAGTTGCTTCACCAGAGCGGCCTTTTGAGATGCTGATTTTTGCGGACGATTTGGAGTCGCCAGAGCAACGAGAACTGGACCCGAAAGATGGCTCAAGCGGGTCGCACTACAGCAAAGAGATGGAACAGGGACTTGGTAGATTGGGCTTTGCAGCTAATGCTTTGACTCGGGAGAGACTCTTCTTGGGGCCATTGTATGCATGGTCAGCAGCAATTCGATCAAAGAAAGGCCTCCTGAGGATACCAGCGATGCTCCGCACAATCTTTTGGTTTTTGGCAGAAAGAACTCGGGATGGGGGCAGCTTACAAGAGCCTACACCCATCAGAAAGGAGGAGGAGGCGGATCTGGTTTTCTTTACGGATGCAAAGGCTACGGAACAAGGTGCTTGGATAGGAGGTTTCTTGCAGTCAAAGGACGGTAGCATAATTTCGTGGTTCTCAGAAGAGGTGGAAGAAAGCTGGACACCATGGCCTTTCATTCGCAAAGGATCCGAAACGGGTCATTGCAGCTCTGGAATTACTGGCTACGTTGGTAGCTGTCAGGCTTTGGGCCAACGGTTTACAGAAAGGTGGAAAGGGCCGGTGTTGGGTGAGAGCCGGAACAGATAACCAAGGAAATTCCTATGCAGTCAGCGGGTTGATGAGCACAAAGTACCCTCTCACGGTGCTGATTATGGAACTCTCGGAGACCCTTCGTGCCCGAAACTGCGAACTAGATCTTCAATGGATTCCACGAGAACAGAATCAACTTGCGGACGATTTGACAAATCAGGTTTTCACGAAATTTCCCTTGGATTGCCGTGTGCAGTTTGTTGGTGGGGACACTAAATGGATAGTCCTCGAAAAGCTTATGGAAAAGGCCAAAGAGTTTCACTTGGAGCTGGCTACGGAAAAGAAACGTAAAGTTTCTGAGCCAGCAAAAGAAAGGAAGGTGAAAAAACAGAAGCTTTTGGAACCGTGGTGACTTCCCTCGTTGGCCAATGGGATATGGAGAATGCTCGGAAAATCGCACCGGAAAACCTACTGACAGCATTTCTCCAACAGGTCTTGGGATCACCAACCTTGAGCAAACAACAATGGCAAAGAAAAAAGGGATTAGAGCGCGAGTCATCAGCAATTCAGTTCCATTGTCGTTTATTTGCACATGCTTTTTACACGGCACGAAAGTTTGTCTTGGCCTTTCAGTGAGATGATTTATTTGGAAAGAATTTTTTGGCCTCAAAGGAGGAATCACAAGTGACAAAGGAAATCGGAGAATCGACAACGCGTATCCAACTCGATATCGTCAAAGGAAGTTTAGGGGGAGAAACTTCCGTGTTACGGACTTTTAGAATGTCAGGGAAAGAGTTAGTCAAAGAAAGAGTTCGCAAAGAAAGAGTTCGTCAGAAAAAGAGTTCGTCAAAGAAAGAGTTAGTCAAAGAAACAGTTAGTCAGGGAAAGAGTTAGTCAAAGAAAGAGTTAGTGAGGGAAAGAGTTAGTCAAAGAAAGAGTTAGCAAAGAAACAGTTAGTCAGGGAAAGAGTTTGTCAAAGAAAGAGTTAGTGAGGGAAAGAGTTAGTCAAAGAAAGAGTTAGCAAAGAAACAGTTAGTCAGGGAAAGAGTTAGTCAAAGAAAGAGTTAGTGAGGGAATAGCAAAGAAAGAGTTCGTCAGGGAAAGAGTTAGTCAAAGAAAGAGTTAGCCAAAGAAACAGTTAGTCAGGGAAAGAGTTAGTCAAAGAAAGAGTTAGTGAGGGAAAGAGTTAGTCAAAGAAAGAGTTAGTCAAAGAGTTAGTCAAAGAAATTCTTCCCGCAATGTAAATGGGATTGCAAGTGGTGCTGGTGGATGAGTTGCCTATGGAGTTTTGAAGGAAGTCTCGCACGAAATGCGTTTTTGAGATCCCGCAATGTAAATGGGATTGCAAGTGGTGCTGCTGGATGAGTTGCCGATGGAGTTTTGAAGGAAGTCTCGCAGTCCTCGCACGAAATGGGCGTTTTTTTGAGAGATAGCAGATATTCACTAAACACGGTGTTTTTCCAGGGGAGTCAGTTTTTCCAGGCCTTTTCCCCGAGGATCCAGAACAAAAGTGCGTCCCCGAACGTCGATGATCTCCCCTCTGAGGTGCGACGGTTTGCGCGACGGTCACCGTGGTGTGGTCGGATCATTCTCGGATCATTCTCGGGACCATTGTCGGAATCGGTTCCGGCATTGTGAAATTGGGTTTCAAGTGTTTTTTCGTGCATGTGCGGGCGTCGACAGATTAATTCGCACTTGTTCAATTTTCAACTGTATGATTGTTCCCGCAATGCAAATGGGATTGCAAGTGGTGCTGCCGGATGAGTTGCCGATGGAGTTTTGAAGGAAGTCTCGCACGAAATGCGTTTTTGAGAGATAGCAGATGCACGAAACCCTATGTTTTTCCATACAAAGTCCGTCCCCGAACGTCGATGATCTACCTCTGCGGTGCGACGGGTGCGAGACGGTCTCGTGTGTGGTCGGATCATTCTCGGACCATGGTCGGATCATTCTCGGACCATGGTCGGATCGGTTCCGCATTGTAAATGGGGTTTCAAGTGTTTTTCGTGCATGTGCGGTCGACAGAATTCCATTGTGATTTGCAACTGTAGGAGCGTTCCCGCAATGTAAATGGGATTGCAAGTGGTGCTGGTGGATGAGTTGCCGATGGAGTTTTGAAGGAAGTCTCGCACGAAATGCGTTTTTGAGAGATAGCAGATGCACGAAACCCTGTGTTTTCCATACAAAGTCCGTCGTCGAACGTCGATGATCTACCTGTGCGGTGCGACGGGTGCGAGACGGTCTCGTGTGTGGTCGGATCATTCTCGGACCATGGTCGGATCATTCTCGGACCATGGTCGGATCGGTTCCGCATTGTAAATGGGGTTTCAAGTGTTTTTGGTGCATGTGCGGTCGACAGAATTCCATTGTGATTTGCAACTGTAGGATCGTTCCCGCAATGTAAATGGGATTGCAAGTGGTGCTGGTGGATGAGTTGCAGATGGAGTTTTGAAGGAAGTCTTGCACGAAATGCGTTTTTGAGAGATAGCAGATGCACGAAACCCTGTGTTTTTCCAGACAAAGTGCGTCCCCGAACGTCGATGATCTACCTCTGCGGTGCGACGGGTGCGAGACGGTCTCGTGTGTGGTCGGATCATTCTCGGATCATTCTCGGATCGGTCTCGGATCGGTTCCGCATTGTAAATGGGGTTTCAAGTGTTTTTCGTGCATGCGCGGTCGACAGAATAATTCCATTGTGATTTGCAACTGTAGGATCGTTCCCGCAATGTAAATGGGATTGCAAATGGTGCTGGTGGATGAGTTGCCGATGGAGTTTTGAAGGAAGTCTCGCACGACTTACAACGAACGCCGTTTTTTTTCTTCCATTTTTGGTCGCTATTGATTTTCCCTTCTAAAACCTTTTTTAAAAAAAAAGTGCTCAAAATCTTCTTTTTGTTTGTCTTTCGCTCTGGCGTCGAGATCCGGTTTTGGAGCTACAATTTCCGACGCCGTTGTGCGTAGTTCTATTGTGTTTTGCAACTCACATTGTAATGGCTGCGTGAAGGTTGCTTCATGCTGTGGCTGCATGCGTAATACTATTGTCTTTTGCAGCTGGACTTCGTAAATCGTATTGGAGTGGCTGCATGAAGGCTGCGACAGTGATTTGTCAGCAGATTTTCTCCATTTTGGCGCTAGTGATTTTCCTTCTAAAAATCCTTTTAAAAAGTGGTTCAAAATTTCAAAATCGTCTTTTTTTCGCTCTGGCGTCGAGATCCGGTTTTGGAGCTACAATTTCCGATGCCATTGCGCGTAGTTCTCTTGTGTTTTGCAACTCAGTCTCCGCAGATCGCATTGGAATGGCTGCGTCAAGGTTGCTTCTTGCTTTGGCTGCATGCGTAATGTCTTTCTAATGGATTTGTTAGCAGATTTTCTCCATTTTGGCACTAGTGTTTTTTTGTTGAACGTAGGTTTAGAGCAGTGTGAAGTGTGGGGCGTGAAGAGTGCAGTGTGAAGTGTGCAGTGTGAAGGAAGCAGTGGGAAGTGAGAAGTGTGAAGTGTGGAGTGTGAAGTTTCAGTTTGGAGTGCGAAGAGCGCAGTGTGAAGTGTGAAGTGTGAGGTTTGGAGTGTGAAGGAAGCAGTGAGAAGTGAGAAGTGTGAAGTGTGAAGTGTGAAGTGTGGAGTGTGAAGTTTGAAGTTTGGAGTGCGAAGAGTGCAGTGTGAAGTGTGGAGTGTGGAGTGTGAAGACTTTGCTTCGTCACTCTCGCTGAAAAAATCAAACGGGTGTCGAGGGAAGGACACGGTCGGGACAGGGTGTCTTTGAACTATAGGTCATTTATGTTTGGGAAACTTCCGCCGCCGGCTTGCCCGGGTCTATGTTATATTGATATGTTTGAATATGAGGATATATATACTCGGCTTAAGTTTATATGTTCTTGTTCTATAGATGGGAGGGTTTCGGGAGGATATATGTAGTACTCGGTGTCGATCCTGCCGCTGAAGCCGCTGAAGCGTCCGGTATGACATCCTTCCTTTCCTCCTAGGTAAACGCTACGCGATCTCTCCCGCGTCTTCACCTCCGTTCTGTAGCTGTTATGGTGGTTACTTCTTTCGTCTCCGCTGAGCGATGTTTTCCTCCGGGTTGGTTTCTTTCTTACGCGAAACCCGGTAACTCGGAAGTTGAAACTCGGAAGTTTAGACTAGCCTTCACCGTTCTTCGTGAAATAAAAGCATTGTTTTTGTGAACATCAACGTGGACACGGGACCGAGCACCACCTTTCCCAGGGTCCCCTTGTTTTTCCGGCCCAAGTTGAAGGAGCTTTTTTTTTTCCTTCCAACGCCTCTTGGCTTTCGCCAGGTAGTTCAACACGTTCAGTTGCATGTTGCATAGAACCGGTAAATTAACTAATTAATGCATACATATAGCCGCCATCTGGTTGGGGGCCACAAAAGTGAACTGGTATGGGACCTGTACAAAGTCCAGCAGCCGTCACGATTCCATTGCAAAAACACAGCAAACAAAAAGACGGCCCAAGTTGAAGGAGCGGAAATATGATGAGTCCGAATTCCGGGCTGGGAACTCTAACTATGGATCGGCCAAGAAGCACCCCCAACAGATAGAGGTGCAGTTCCAGGAGGAGGAGAAGTTGGGATTTACTGTTCCGTTGCATTGTCTTGAAGCCTGGAAGGCAGCATGTGTCAATTCATGGATACACCGTCATGGAGCAGCCTGTGGCAAGGAAATTGTTTCAGAGCTTAGCTGCTGGAATCATGCTTGTAGAACCACAGCAGAGCAGCGACAACTCTCTCTGCTCGCATCCTGTCGCTTCCAAGACAAGCCAATCGGGAATTACTTGCCACAAACTCCACAAAAGACAGACTTTGGCTCCAAACTCGAAGCCAAAATTTGATCTCAAAAATGAAGACAATTTTGGCTTCGCCTAATGAAACAATAGAAGCGGCCTCCGAGAAATTGAAACTAAAAATGGCTTCCGTTGAAAGAGACACAAACTGTCCAAATCCAACAGAAATGCCGCGGCGCCAAAACAAAGATCTCCCAATGATTTTTTTCCCGTCCAACGCCTCTTGGCTTTCGCCAGGTCGTTCAACACGTCCAGTTGCATGTTGCATAGAACCGGTAAATTAATTAATTAATACATACAAAAGGCCGCCATTGGTTGTGGGCCACAAAAGCGAACTGGTATGGGACCTGTACATAGTCCAGCTGCCGTCACGATTCCATAGCAGAGACACAGCAAGCAACCAAAACACACAAAAGCAACAGAACACACAAAAACACAACCAACCAAAACACAAGCACCAAAAACAAAAAGAGGAAAGTGAACGGCGGTCCAGTTCATTGACTATCTATGAGAGAGAGGTGATAGCATTGTATCAACTCAAGAATTGGTATGGCGAAGCCAAACAAAGCAGAAAAAAGAGACACAAAAATCACAAAGCCATACCGTTGTGTGA